TAAAAAGTTTAAGTAAATTCTTGTGGAGGACCTTACATTGTCCTCCACAACCCTTCTGGAGGACTGTTCCCCTTCGGGCCGATTGGAGGAGAATCCTCCAGAGTGGAGGAGGTTTGGCAACGCTACATACAGTACGTGTCAACCAATGGCTGAACGCTATTCATATTGTGATGACTAGAGAACGACACGCGCCCGCCAAGACATACTGGGCGCGTGCCCAGGGCATGCCCAGCGTATTTGAAATACTGAGCCCGTCCAGTTTTTAACATTAAAACTTAATTAATTAATTAATTATAAGTTAGATTAAAAGTTAATCTTTTAAAAAACATTTATCCTTACTACTAGCATCTAATTAGTTTAAAAAACAACCACAATATATTATATATTTTACTAGATTTAACAAAATGTCTGGTAAAGTGGTGCCCAATGTACAACAAATACGTCTGGGTATAATAATAATTGTCCACTGTTTCATTCGTTATTGCAGGACGTAATATATGAGGGAAGTGCTTGGTCTCTCATTTGTATGGACATGCCGGGCGTATTGGGCGTATTACTCACACGCCCGCCCAACCGTCGTTCCCAAGTGAGTGTTTCATTGAGTCATCTCATGAACTCCACAACAACTATACGACTGTCTGTCACTCTCTGATGAAATCCAGTGAAACGTCTTATACATGATGTGCGAGAAAGTGATCCCAATTGAAAGGTATCTCTCGGAGACATAGTTGTGTCAAACAGACAGACAGACAGACATACAGCCAGTGATTGTGGTGATTGTGTCCGCGATGGCCAAAAAGGCATCGTTTGCCGACTTATTGTATTTGGCACTCATTGTCAGTGTCTTGAGAAGTGATGATCCCATTGAAGACAATCATGTGTTCAGCGGACAGTTGGTGGGGTCGGCGGTGGACGACTTGGGACCGACCACTGCTGTCAACATATATCTGCATAATCTGCGGAACTCGTACTCATTGGACACGAATGTCTACACGAGTAGTGCAAAGGCTAATGTCTTGTACGAAGAGACTATTGATATGATCCGTGAAGTGAACTCTTTGGGCCGGTATTCACGTGAATCCCGTTTCCATAATTCGCCGGTCTTTGCATATCTGGTCAGTCGTGGCGAACAAACCGTCGACAACGGCCTCACGGCTGCCATCGCCTCCACCTCATCGTCAGCCCTGTCCTCACAAACTCAACACTTGGACAGCGAGTTGTCGTCCAATGAATCCAATGACTCAAGTAGTGTCACCTCTTCGCCCACTTCACCCACTCATCCACAGCCACAGCCACAAGAAGATGACGACGAGGTATGTGTTTGACAACCATTGTGTGAATTGTCAACTGATCCAACTGTCTGTCCATTAGAGCACATGTTTGGCCATCAGTTTGTCTGAATTGGAAGTGAACGAGTCATTGGGTAAGTGTTGCCTCAAATCAATGATAATGCCATGGATTGTGTAAATTGTCAACTGATCCAACTGTCTGTCCATTAGAGCACATGTTTGGCCATCAGTTTGTCTGAATTGGAAGTGAACGAGTCATTGGGTAAGTGTTGCCTCAAATCAATGATAATGCCATGGATTGTGTTTGTAATGCTATTTGTATTGATGTTATCATTGAGCCAATTGATGCCAATTATCACCGCTTTGTTCACGAGTTCTTTGTTTCGAAATGTTAGCAAATTTGTTAAAAATAGGATCATTTCAAAGGGTTTTTGGGTTTTTAAATTTCTATGTAGGAGTAGTACATGTAATGTCAGTGTTATTGCATTGCATTTGCACTCAAACAAAGTGAGTTCAATGTATACCTCAAAAGTCCTTGAAATACGTAATTAAATGTTTGAAAACAAGTTATTTCAATGTGACTCTTAGTTGTTATCACGGGTTTAAACACTGGGTTAATCAGACATCTAACCATTAGTTTGTGGGTTTTAATTAGATATTTCTATTTTAATGTTGGCAATAATGTGCATAATATATTTACATAACAACCAGTGTTGTGTTATACTCTGTGTTGATGTCCGTAGCTGGACTCGGGGCCGGGGGCATAAAGTGAAAACAAACATCGGAGCTAACGCCGGATAAAAATTCTGAGCCAGGAGCCGGATGTTTATAAAAAATTAAAAATAGTGAAATTTCTTTCAATTATTGGCATGTTTACGGTTTTGCAATAAATATTTATGTATTTATAATTAGACTTTCAGAGATAAAAGCCCTGATTATCGTTACTTTTAAATGCAATCATTTTATGAAACACTGCTAATAATGGCTACAATTTATAGGCATTATTGATTTGTTGACAGCCCTTCTCGGTGTACACAACACCTGCTGTAACCGAACCAAAGGTTGGCCATATTTGCCGGTCTGTCCCACTGGACAGGCGATAATATGTAGTGTAGAATGGTAGTGTAGGTAGACCTTTAGAAATTTTGACAGTTTTTGGATTATGGCATGAATTTCTGAACGTCTTGAATGAGAATCTCTTGAAATATTGGGAATAAAACGGATTCAAAGTATCATAAGATTTAATATTCCGAGAGAAAGTGATTAAAGAATAAATATTTTAGTTTTACTCACTTTTACCACTAGATTTCAATACTGTGCCCTTAAATGCAGCCATCACTGCATTAATTAACATAACTTAGTTTTACCACTATTAGAGAATTTGCACTTTTATAAACATATCGACAATATTCATTGGACTCGTTTTCTATATAATATAGGTTAGGGTTGAGCTAGATCATTACACAATTTGTGTACCAATATTTTGATATACTTATTTACATATTTTGACTGTATCTCAAATCTAACGGGAAAAGGATGGGACAGGGTCACGAAATTCATAATTGTCAGTGAAATACATGTCAATCCTAATAAATTGTGATTTTTTGAGGAATTATTAGTTTTCTTGTTTATAAAATCCTGAAATATAAACAAGTCGTGCATCAGGAGCCCTATGCTGACGCTTTCGCAGATATTTGCTAATAAATAAATACCCTTTTCAATTAAATTGCAATATTTTTTGGTATTTAATCTCTCACTCACTCACTCACTCACTTACATTTCTATTAATAATTTTACCATGCTACTAGTATTTGATAAACTCTTGATATGAAATTGGCTTCTGTCCATAAAACTAATGGAACTGCTAAAGTTATCAAGATTATTACCGTTAGTCTGCTTTAACATGGTAAAAAACTCGAACAATCAAACAATCTACACTCGATTATCTAATAATGATTGCCAACTTAGAAATTGTCATTTGTATTCACTTATTATATTGAAATATGGTTAGCATTACACAACACACGCATCACATGTTAAGATTATCTTTTATAATACTGTAGTTGCGATACAATTATATTGTTGAAAATTTTATTTTTGTCTTATTTATTTGTACATTTACTCTATGAACACATTTATCCTTAGGTATTACAGTATTATACTGTATTGAGTTGAGATTCATTATTTTATCTCAAGTTTAGATCATTGCTCTTGTGATTATGTATATCACACTATATGATCAAATTAATTAACAACTTTAAATTTTGTATAATATTTACGTAAATGTAGTGTTTTATGACTGCACACGAATACATACATAAAAATTTAAGTTATATTATATAACATAAGAATAGGAAGTTATAGAAAATGGACCTAGTTTATATTGAAAATAAGACTAAATCAAATCAAACTTTATTGGAATCTCTATCAACAAAATGTTGGTTTTCATAGAAATCCTTTTTTTTAAATAATTAGAAACAAACAAAATAACATTTTTTTCTAGTTATAAAAATTATGAAACAGTAATAGACTATTACTACAGTAGTGGAGCTTTTAATTAAATCTATAGAAAACCTATAATACAAGATAAGTGTCGTTATTATATCATCAAAATAATGTCAACCCATATGTGAGATATAGTTTTGTCAATCAAAAAATAAACTCAAAAATGTGTTTCCAATGATTTGCTATTTTTTATATTTTCTCAATTCATTGTATGTTTTCTTATTTGTTAAATATATTTGCATTTTCTTCTCTAAACGCTGTTTTATATTTCATTTTATTATTAATTTAATTCTTACTTTTATTAAATTTATCTGAAAACGAACAAAAATTCCCTTGTTAAGTCTATGGGATCGTGCAATTAGGCGTCATATGGGGGGAGGGGGAGCAATATGATTCTATATACCGCGATTTTTCCTAGCTAAATCCCGATTAAAATGTATCAATATATTATACTACGAGTTTGCTAGATATATTGAAATGCTAGTACTGTATTCAATGATATGTATTGGGATTATTTACACTCATATATGAAATGCAAGTTCTGTTGAAATAGTAATTATTCGGTCATTTCGGTCATAAGCCTGAGACGAGTGAATAAGTCACACAAATCGTCATCCATACAGATATTATACCATTGAATGGCTCATCGTTTTTGTGGGATAAGTCTGTTTATAGTATGATACTCGTCTTTATGAATCGGTAATTGCCGGCAGAGGTGATGAGTCGGCGGTTTAGCTGTCAGTACGAGTGTCGTCGATGTCGTCAAGACGTCGGACTCTTGTAATGATATGTTTGGTTCATTTGCTGACGCGTGCTATCAATCGCAATGATTTGCATGCATTAGGCCATAGCTCACAACTAAACCTATAACTGAATTGAATTAATATGATCTCCAAATGGATGACTTATTATATGATATGTAGATTTGATGTATCAAATGAAGAGTCACAATGAGATAGCATTGCAATCCATACTTAAATACGTTTCCAATTGCTAACACAAGACATATATTTTGAACACTAAAATAGTTAACGAAGTATTGAAAAGCGATTGCATTTATGGCGAATCCGACGACCGAGAAGACGATGGCTTTGTTGAGAACAATCTTCTCAGTGATTTGGACGACGCCTTCATCAACACGGGGTCATCCACCGATGGACTGGTATCCTGTGATGAGATGTTGCCTATTCTGGACCCACTGGATGATGGTGTCGACTCACTCTTTGACGAACTCGAGAGACTCTTAGCACCCGAAGACTCAGACATTTTGCAGTCTATGAATACGGTATAGTTTTGTTTTCAATTAGTTTTTCTAATTACTAGAAATGAGTTTAAATTCAACTAATAATTAAAAAAGTTAAACACATCAAGAGATTGGTTTGCATTCATAATTCAATTGTCTATATGTCGTACTGTTTCCTGTCATATATATCTACAAACATATCGTTTGCCTAATAGTTAAACACTTATTCGCTTAGGAATTGATTATTAGGCTCTGCTTTAAATCACTTCCAAACCAAACGCATAATTGAATGTAAAAATTGCCGCTTTTTCTTATGTTTGAGTCTAAGACATGATTTCTGGGGAGAGTTAGGCTCCAAATTAGTCCCGTCTTTATGTCGATATCGCTTACAAAATATTGAAATTATTTGCAATTTATTATCGTTTTATGTGAGAGGGAGGCATAAGGAGGGAGAGAGTGAATGGGACAGAGAGAGAGAGAGAGAGAGAGAGAGAGAGAGATTTGGTTTTAGTCGGCAGTGAGGAGTGAGTGTTTGCTTTGGAGCCCCTGTGCGACAAAATCAACGAATTTTAACATATTATTCATTATTCTTATGGCTATTGTATTGTATTATAAGTGACTGTCCTTCGCATGTCTGCCATGACTGGCCTCAACTCCATATGATTTGTGTGACTAGTGTTGGCTCCGTCTCGACTCTAATAGAGTTAACTTAATTATGCAAATATATCACTCAATACCAGTGTTGGTCATCACTTGCACACAGATATCCCTAAAAGGATAATGAAGTGAAATATGACTGAAATAATTGTGTTTACAATTATGACCGCATCTGCTCCCAGCCCTCACTCGTACTCTCTATACATAACTAATTGAAAATTTCAAGTAAGACTCACTCGAGAGTGTATTGCAGTCCATATTACAGTAATAGATTTTATTGGATTTTAAAATGTTTGAAATGTTTTGCACTTTTAACTCATTAACTCATTAAATAGTTTTCATAACATTTATAGGAAGTCATTGCAATGCATACCTTAACACATTATAAGTCACGTATTTTGATCAATGATTTAATTGACTATTCATTGACTTTCTTATATGATATGATATGACATCTTCTTGAGAACAGGGAATCCTTTGAGTCTAATGTATAGCAATGTTAGCCACAGGACAGGCATAGGGCACAGCATCGAGCCATTGGAGGCATATATGGATGAATATGAGGGTATAGTGTATTGAATAGGCATATGTTATGGTAGTCCACGTCTATTAAGAATGCAAACACTATTAGATTATCGTATCGTATGTTTGGAATACGTTTATTACATATTAAATGTTAAGTTAGTCTATGAGTTAATGCGTGTATTTGTTGTGCTCTCACGTCTCGATTGCTGGAGTGTCCCATCTCTGGACCCTCTCCTCCACCCGAACCAACTCTACTCTACTCTACCTCTGCTTCACTTGTATTGAGTTTATAGCGAATTGTGTGAAACAACTAAAGAATAACTTCCTGTCGATGCGGAACGCGAAGAGAATCGCTATTTTTGAAGGATTGACATGTTTTGCAACATATTCTCAATACTTGTGATTTCATTTGATTGTTTCATTAGACTCTGGTTTGTTAGTTATGTCCCCATAAATGCATGCAGTGCTCGTGTTGTGGCATCACATTAAGTGATGCAATCCATACCATACCATACTATTCGCCATCACTTGCTGAACAATTGCTTTACTCTTCAATACACTTTTCAATACACTTTTCAATACACGTTTAATTTGATTAAATATAACCAATAAATCGCTTGAATGACCTCATTTCGCCATTTTTGGACAAATTATACAATATTTACCGTTTCTCTTACCACTCCTCAACTATATTCTCGTTACCATTCAATGCATTGTTTTGTGACAACTTTTCTAAACTAAATTTTACTCATATATTCGTTGTGTCCTAAAATGTGACACTTGTTTGTGTGCAAGAATTGTGCAGAAGAAAATTCTTGAGAAATGAAATGTTTGGTTAAACTTTTGATATTTTAGTTTTATAGTAATGTAATTGTGTGTTTCTATAGTTTTAATGTTTGTAACTGTGTGCTTGAATTTGAAGGTAAAGTAATTGAATTGTTTTTAGTATAAATAATGAATTCAGTGTAGAATACAGTAGTGGTTGTGGTGTTCATACCGCTCTCATAGGACAGACACTTGTCTTATGTTTGTTTAGAGCGGTTTGAGTACATATATTGGTTCCACCTTATGATGGGTCGTTTAGCCTATCTTTGTGTTCCATACCTGGCCTCTCCTCCCCTCCGGAAGTTTGTCTCTATCTTAATATTTAGTGACTATTTCTTAAACCTGTAAGAAATTGGATGTCTTGTGAGACAATAGCTCTAAGATTGGTCTCTTTTTTGAGTACAAGTATTGCATGATTTGCGAATCACTCGTCATTTGTTTGCCTCATCTGCTCCGCAACTCATCACAAGACACACCACTTCTTATTGAATTCAATTTCAATACGAACAACAGTTTATCATTATATGTTTAGTTGAGTTTTCATTAAATTGTTGACAATTGAAATCGTATTCACTTGACGGTAGAAAATATTGCTTTTATAATGTGTTCACTACCGGCGCAAAGTTACTATGTTTTACCACACAATCAAAATCACAATCAGATTCTGTCGCGAACT